AGTACCTACTATCGTCCACTGGTGGTCCCAGTAGGGACTAAGATGAAACTGGGTAGATAATAAAGGGGACTTGTGTGCTGCTATTCACTTCTTTATTCTTTGCTGGTATATAAAAATAAATTTTTTTTTTTTAGTTACCTAGGTATTGTTAATGACTTAAGTTTACACTTTCATAGAATTTTAATATTTTTACTTTTTAATTTGATCGTTACCTTTTTTTATTTCTTTTTTTTCTTTTATAAAAATTGAATGATAATTTCTAATATATTGTACAACGTGAAGGAAATGGTGCATTGAGTCAGTATCGATTGTAGTGATATTATTTTGAAGAGGTGGTTTCCTCTCTCGGTGAAAGAAACGATGAATTATCGATTGCATGCACCTATGTGACGTCATCAAGGATCACGCCACTTTTTCATCCATTGAAACGAGACTCGTGATTGGTCTATACGTAGCTGAACTATCTATATCTATACCAAGTATAGTCGGGATCGTGTCTCATTTTGCGAACTGCATGCTTTAACGAGTTTGGTTCCTAGTTTGTTGCATTTATGCATAAAATATTATTTTTCTTTTTTATATTACTATCTATGCAATCTAAATAATATAATGTTTAATAATAATAATATAAAATTCATACCCAGGCGTTTAATCATCTATGAATATTTAATACTCGATCGGGGAATTTAAAAAAACGTTTACCATAAATAAATATAATCTAAATTTAAATGATTAAACAATAATAAATCATAAGATGTATATGTTTTAAATAATTGAAATTAGATGCAAAATGCAATTGGTATTCATATACTATTTTTTTTTATCTTTTGAAGATATTTAACAGTATTTCGATTTTCAAAATAACGTACTGAAATTGATAAGAAACATTTAGGTAAACATGTATATTTTGGTTAAACTTTACATTTTAATTAAATTGATAACTACTACCAGAAAAAAACAATTGTTTTTTAACTTATAAAAACAGATAGTTGGTTCACGTGCTTAGAGTTTGTCTAGAATTCTTTTAGATGTCGGTACTGCGCTTCACCTAATCGATCCCGTTAGTTTAAGATTGCCGAGCGGCAAGATGGCTGTGTCGAGTCAGAGTGCATATAATACGTCCCTTGTTATTTTCCGGTGGAATTAGTAGCGTCTAACGTGTAACACATAACATAACGTAGATCTATAGCGTTTCCATTGAATATCCAATTTTCTCGGGAATAGTAAGTTCGCGTTGTCGTCGATGACATATTAATATATTCGATTTAAATTCAATGGGCGAAAAAATTTGGCAGAGTTAAAAGGAAAACTATGGCAATCGAGAAAAATTTATTTCAACGTTGAGCCCCCGGTCATTACGAAATTTGTCTCTTATATTTTGGAATAACGAAGTATATATATATATATATTATATATATATATATCGAGGAACGAAAAGTTATAGAATCTAAAGAAGGTTAATTTAGCGAAGTAAGTGTGACAGTGTTAGTGATACGTAATAGGGCAAAGAAGAGAAGCACGTGGTATCACTTGAGTGCTTCGTATAATAAAAACGTTATCCAGTGGAAATTATTTATATAATACGACGAATATATATACAAAAAATTAAAAAACAAAAAAAGGAAGAAAGAAAGAAAGAGGATAATAAAGGACTTCGTCCGAAGATCCTTTTTTTGGTAGGCTAAGCGAAAAAAAAAGACAACAACAACAAAATATATTACGTGTCTTTACATGACTATATTTATATTTATCACCGAAATTAAATATCAATTTAAATTCATCGTCTATATCTATTCGGCGCTCCAACTAAGTCATACACGATTCTTAAAATAACTTTATCAATCTTACGTAAGGGAATTAGATAAAAAGATAAAAAGAACATGAGAAAAAGGAAAGAAAGAGAGAGAGAGGCGTGTAAAATGAAAAAATTTAACCGCTGGAACCTACGTCGTTCAGCAATGTTAACCGAAACAGTTAACTGCAAATAGTTTGATGGTTCGAGAAGAGAATTTTCAGGCTTCCTTGAATTAGCATGTTTATTTTTGTTATATAAGCTTGACTCTTTTTCTTGCTCCACGTGTGTATACTTTATTACAAGGACTAGATTTATTTCAATTTACAATATCACGGCAATATTCTTTCTTTCACAATCGATATTTGTGATCGACGTGGGTTAGCGATTAAATATTAAACATTTACATAAGGAAGGTAAATAATTCAACGTAATGTCAAGAAAAAAAGAATATATTTTTATATTAAATTGACGAATTGTTACGAAATACGACGAACATATGTTTTACGCATCATACATACATATATACATACATACATACATACATACATACATACATACATACACATATATACGTACATACATAGATACATGTTTTACCGGCTTTAGTCGTGTACCATTCGGTGCATACTACCTCCGCCATCTTTCGTTCCTTCCCCTCTCTCCCACTACCACCTAACCTCTACCACCTCCACACAATCTTTTCCTCGATTCCACGGCGCCTACCATCATCTGCTTGCTTCGTCGTCATCGTCGTCGTCGTCGGCACGGATGATTGCGCTCGCGCGCACACCTACACTCACATTATTCTTGACCCTTGAATTGTGAACAGTGATAATTTTCTTCTTGCATTTGTGCTTGGGGAAAAAGAGTTAGTCAATTGGAATCGACGATCTCGATTGGTGTGGATGTGGTGCTGAAAATTTATACATTTTTTTTATTGTAATATATATATATATATATAGATAGATATATATTTTGTTATTTCTGTCTCTTTCTTTCTAATTGAATTGTGCGTGGGTGGGTGTTTTATTTTACTTGGTAAGTTTGCCCGAATTCTTTTTATTTAATTCTTTCTTTCTTTCTTTCTTTCTCTTTCTTCATTTACAGTTATATATATATACATATATATATATGTATATATATATGCATTTCGTTACTCTTTGGGTGAAGAGTGCGCGCGTGGATGAAGTATTGTAAAGCTTTCCTCTCACGAATCAACGTATGCGCCGGCGCTATTTGTCTAGCATAGGTATATATATATATATGTTGTATATAAGAGTATGTTTAAGGATTATGCGAGGGAGGCGTCTGGCGTCCTTCGTTGCAGTCGCACCAAGTTGCACTTATAAGATAGACAAAGATGAAAAGAAGAATAAAATATAGTTTTATTTTTTAAATAATTCTTATTAGAAAATATTATTTTATTTTTTTTCTCTATTTA